TCCGTTCTCTCGTAACACGTTTTCCTCCTCTTTAGAAGCAGCTAAAGGAAAAATTTGAAGCATCGCGACGCGACAGTCGACCGCCGATCTCTCGATCGATCTTTCACCAGCTCGAATAAGCGTAATTATTAACGCGTTAATTTCAATAATAGCGTCGCGACTATCGAATCGACCCATTTTTTCACGCGTGCTACGGTCAACACGGGCGAAATAGCAGAGGGAGAAAGTGTTCTGCAAGCGGTACAAAGAGAAATATTCATATTTTTTTCGATCACGAACGAAATTCGTGACGCTTCGATTCGATGGTCGTCCCGCGAAACGCGTATTTTTTTTTTTTTTTTTTGTTTTGAGAAACTCTCGAGGGGGCGGTACAAAGTGGCAGTCGAACGACGAATAGCTCGCGTCGGAATTGGCGCGAAAATGATTGGGGATCGCGTTCAAATGGCGGTAAATAGAAAGAGAAGCTTTGGAATTACCGTGTTTCGCGCGGTTTGCGCGCTCGTTAATGATTTTAATTCGGTGGAGGATCGAGGAGGATCGGCGATCGGCCGCGGTTGCGCCTGATATCGTATATTTTGATCCTTTCGTGGCCGCGTACGCGACGCTTTTACAAAAATGCTCGGTTATAGAAATAGGTGCGTTTACAAAAATTCTCGTTTGTCATCGACGGACGAAAAACAGAAAAAAGACACGGTTTTTACTCTCGCAGTTTTTCGGTATGTGCTTTTTCATCGTTAGAAAAATTACCCATTCTTTCATTTTGCTTGTTTCGTTTAACAATACTTTTTTTTTTTTTACGTTTAATAGAATCACTTTGTTCGGGCGAAAAATAGATTATTATGTGTTTATCTTTGTTATTTTTTTTCTTTTTTTTTTTGTTTATCACTCTATGTCTTTCCATCCATCTTTTACCGTGCGCGTGTAGACGAAACTTTTTTTATCCGTGTTACGTGTACCTGTTGCCTGTAAAATATGCGTGTCGCGTGTCATATTGTAATGTGGTTGTGTGTTGTTCCTCGGTTTACACGGTATTTATCGCGATTATAATCGTCTTTTTTTTATACTTTTTTTTACTTTTGTTGCTTATTATCGTGTCCCACTCTGTAAGGCGATCGGCTTAGCTTCGCTTAGTGCTTATAAACGTAATATTTTTTTTTTTTTTCTTAATGCGGGCCAGGTGGCTCTTAGCATAACCCGGGGCAACTCGGCAGGATGTTTATCTGAACTAGTACCGTTAAGATTATAGTAATTTTTATTTATACATTTTTTTTTTCCATTATTTCTTTAAATATATCCTGTAGTAATTCTTCTTTTGTTAAAATGCGTACAAACGGAGATGCGGAATCATAATATGTATAACGTACCGAGGGAGACGTGGCGTTCATTACTTATCGATTATTATTATTACTCATTAGTTAATTACACATTAGTTATTACTATTATTATTATTATTATTATTATTATTACATATTATTACTAATATTATTATTTACTTCCATTATTAATCGTTATTATTAGTTATTATTAATCGTGATTTCATTTTTGCTGTAACCCCCTTCTCTGCGCGCATAGGTATATTTTTTTTTTATTCGGCTTTCGTCTAGTGTTTTACGGTTGTTACTTACGAAGTTATTATTATTATTATTATTTTATTCTCATTATTAATCATTATTCTTACTCTTATTATTATTTATTTAGTTGTATTTATTTTTTTTCTTGCGTCAGAAAAAATTGTCGAGAGTGATTATGCCAAAGCCAATACGATAATTACATCATTTTTTTTTTTTTCCTCTTTAAATTACTTTAGTTGAAGCTTCACACAGCCAAAAAATGAAAAGCACTTAAAACAGTGCTCAACACTATATAAATGAGTTGTTGATTAATTAATTAATTCAGTAATTAATTAATTAATAAAAACGGATCCCGACCGACTAGAGTGGCAGAGGTAGCCGCCAATCGCGTGCAGCCCTCATTTTGCAAATGTTCTGCTCTTACCCGCTTTCTCTCTCGTTAACTTTCTCGGTTTACCTTACTAAATAGTTTAATCAAAAAATCATTCGTGTACGCGTCTATCGGTGTCGTGTTTCCTTTTCCCCTTTTTTCCCGAGTGTGTATATAGTAACGTTAGTACTTTCTACTCTCGTAACGAACGATCTTCCATTCCATAATCTTCTCCAACGATCGTCGGCGACGCGTTTCTCCTCTTGATCTTTCCCCGCAGAGACTTTCGTGCGATCCCCGGTTCCTCCGTCGATGTTACGTTTTACATGTACATATACATATTCTTTTATTTTTTTCAGCGAGTTTACGCTCGTAAACATAAAATCGTCGTACATACAACGATTCGATCCGGGCTGAAATCGGTGAGAATCTCAATTTTATAACAAACGTTTAACTTTTACGGTTTAATAATTCAGTTTGCTCGTTCAGCATTCGATCGTATATGTCTAAATATATCACTTGGAGAGCATATTGATCCGCTCGATCTACGAGCAGAGTCGCGTTCGCTTCTATCGTTTCATATATTTTTTCATTTTTACTATTTTCTCTTTCTCCCTGAATTACAAGTACGCGCCGCTCGCGTTCTCGAAGGGCTGTTGCTCGACCATCCCCTGCTGCCCCCGCTCGTTAAGTCGCGTTCCGATCGAAATTTCTCTAAATTTAAAGCGTAGTATCTCTAATGGGGCCTTCGTTCGGCCGAGACTCGTCGGGCTAGCACCAATACGTGTTGTGCAGTTGCTTAATAAAACGGTTTCCACGGTGTCTCGGCCTCCGGAAGCAGAAAGCAAACGAACGAGCCTCAAAAAAAAAAAAAAATACGTATCCTCGACGGCGTGACCGGTTTGGAAAACATAAATGGCAGGCCAATTGCAGCGATTCGGAAACGGGAAGAACGAAAGAGAGGGAGGGAAGAGAGAGAGAGAGAGAGAAAGAGAGAAAGAGAGAAAAAGAGAGAGAGAGGAAGAGAGAGAGAGAGAGAGAGAGAGAGAGAGAAAGAGTGAATTAGAGAGAGAGACTCCACGGATTATACGGTGCAGCAGAGGGTGCTCGACGAGAGTGTCAGCGCTAATGTTTCGTATTCGAGGCAAAAGTACAGTTTAATCGCGAGATAAGCGCGAGCACCATTTTACAAAGCGAGTTCTCTTGGTCCTCGCGCCAAAGATAGTACACAAGCGGCCAGTCTCTACGGCAACAGGCGGAAATACAAGTACCACTAGCTTCTGGAATAGCTCCATGGGTCGTTTTCACCTCTACAGTTTTAATTTCTCGCCTATTTAATTTTTTTTGGAATGCTCGATTCTTTGTCTCGTTTCGATCGTTTCCGGGTTATCTCTTTTCTTTTTCCCCTCTCCCTCTCGTGTACACCACCGAACCACGCTCTCTCGCGCTTTCCCCTCCGTATCCTCGATCTTCCTGACGATCTTCAGGATCTATCTACGGAGGAACGTTTGCTTCCTTCTCTGTTTCCGCTTCCTCGTCGCTAAGTGTATCGGATACTCGCACTACGCGACGAAACGTGGCGTTTAGCGACCACCACCACCACCACCACCACCATCACCACCATCACCACCACCACCACCACTCCGGCACGCGCTGTCCTCGTGTTTTGCTCTTGACAATACGAAACGTGGACACGTTTCGTTAATTCCTCTGTCTCAGGACGCGTTGCATGCTCGATCGGTCTCACGGTGCGCAAGTAAACGTGACGGAACGCAATGGAAGTTCGAAAGATTCTCTGTCTGGATTTGGGTACGCTTGCTGTCAGAGATCGATCGGGGAAACGACAATCTTTTGCAGTTACGTAAAAGAGTGTTTTTTTGTTCAGCGTACGCGCCGGAAAAGAGGTTAGCACAGCCTCGCGAGAAACGGTACGAAACGATCGTAGGAAGGACACGTGTTCTGATCTCTGACGACAAAAGCCCGATCGAGGCGAATCGACCTTCACCCTCTTTCGTTCGCTGTTCGAGCGACGAAAGTCTGCCGATGGGAACCTGAACGCGACAACCAACGCATTTTTTGGCATTTGTCGGACACGCGTGCGTGTTACATGTACGTATAATGTTGTGTGTTAAATTTTTCTCCCTGTCTCTCTCCTACGTTGGAAAATTCCGCCGCGTTAAATATACAAAAATCACCCCCGTCGTATCGATCTAAAAAGAATCGGAATTTCGTCTTTTTTTTTTATTTACCTATTACTCGATAATTCCAACGTGGCGAATACCGTACTCGCTACCTAACTACCTATCTACGTTCTATTTTTTTCGATACCTCTAACAGCTACGACTGTCTAACAGAGTTCTCTCGTTCTCGTTTATCTAAGTACTTTACTTCGAGTAGCGTGTTTCATTATTATTTTTTTTTTTTTTGCTCTTCGCTTAGTTCGGTAGTAACAGTAGTTTGTAGGTTGTATTTAGTATTCGGTATTAGTAGTAATAGTAATAGTAATAGCGGTAGTAACAGTAGTAGTAGTAGTAGTATCAGCAGCAGTAGCAATAGTAGTAGTAGACGTAGATAATAATAACAACGAAAGTAACGATTCACGCACTACTTTGTCGGTAGTGGTAGTAATATACAATAATAGTAGAGTAGAATAGTAGTAGTAGGAGTAGTGATGGTGATTGGTGGTAGGAGTTAAGTCGTCGTTTTTTTTTTTTTTTACGTGTGGTAAATTACTTCGAGTGAAAAGTTAGGAGTGTGATTGAAGTGGTGATAGTATCTGCTGTAGCGGTAGTAGCGGTAGTAGTAGTATAGTATTAGTAACAGTAATAGTAGTAGTAATAGTAGTAGTAGTAGCAGTTGTAGTTTGTAGTAGCAGTAGCAGTAGCAGTAGCAGTATTAGTGGTAATAGTAATAGTAGTAGTAGTAGTTGTTGTTGTAGTAATAGTAGTAGGTTTTTAGTTAATAGATCGTTTTTTTTTTTCCTCTTTAATAGTAGCACTAATTTTTTTTCTTTAAATAGTAATAAATTTAATCCTCTGCGAAATTGTTTTGCGTTATTATAAATTCTCCTCTCGGAATTAGCTAGGCTTTGGTAGTTTTGATGCGCTTTTTGTTAAAATTTTTTTTCCTTTCACTAACTAAAGTAGCGAGGCGAAAAGTTCAAGTACTCGTAATAAAGGCGCGTAACATAAATTTCTCTGTATAATTATTGTTTTGTTACCTGTCTCGCTCTCTTGGTACCCAACACTCGCGCGATCTTTCATTCCCCCCTTTCTTCCACGCACACTGACCTCCATTTCGCAGCCGTAACCATTCACACCTCATGCTCTCTGATTTTCTCTTACAAAACACACGCGCAGTTATTCTTCCTTCCATTCGGTCTTCCGATTCGCCACGGTATCAAAGTGTCGCTTCCGTTTCAACTCTTGCTCCGTTTTTGTTCGTCTAATAAAAGATAGATGAGAATATATCCCTTGGTAAAACTCGCGTCTAAGACCTAATAAATTGAATAATGGAATCGCTTCATATTTATTTTTTTTTTGTTCGTTTACTTGCGTCTCATTTGTTCATTTTTTGTTCTGCTGATCGCGCGTTACGTTTCTACGTTTTGTGTTCTCGTTTATTTTTTTTTTTTATCGATTTAACCTCTAATGTTTTACAATTTTCTGTTTTCTCACTTATATTTTTTTTTTTCTTTTAACGTTAGACTTCCTCCTTCATCGTAGTCGGTTATCCGTCGGAATGCGTGCGTATCGCGTTTCGATCTTTCGAATAAAACGTCTTTTTCGTCTGTCCGTTTCGAATAAAAGGGTATCTTCCCGCGGACCTGCACGCACAACAGTGAGCCACCGCTTCCGGCGGAAGGAAAACAAACAGTGACGATCGAGTCTCGCGCGTTCGAAGGTCGAAACAAAATCTTTTTTAAATTCTCTTTTTCACGGTTTCGTCGTGACAAGATGGCTCGATAGAGGCGATCGTCACGGTTCTCGATCGTCGTTCGATCGAGAAGAAAAAATCGGCGTGCAACGGTGCAGCGTCCGCTTCGGGTCGATTTCTGAATCGGAAAGCGTTCGAGCACGGACGACTTTCTCGAAATAATCGTGGACATATCGTTTACGCGGCGTTACTTGTTTCGTTTTTTTCGTCTTAATTTTCGTTAATATTTTACTGAGAATGGTGAAATGGCAGTCTTGGCGATTCGGAATTGCGCTTTCTCCGCCAGGAAAGAGACGAAACATCGAGATGACAGCGAAGAGATAGGGAAAGCGCGATCGTTTCCGCGTACGGGGATCGATTGGCCTGCCAATTCGTTTTTGCCATGGACTCGAGACGCGACAGAAATTTCTTATCCGAGCTTCGTCGCAACGATAATCCTCCTACCCCGTCGTTTGTTACTTTAAACCCCCGATGTGGCTGCCATCTTTTTCTGCCTCTCGCTCGGCGACCCGGTTTTTTACACGATAAATTGGGGGACAAATGAAAGAAAACGATTCGAGTTCGCGTAACCTGCCAAGCGAGGCAAAGAATTCGCGAACGTACGAAAGTAAAAGGCATCCTTAAATCGTACTTTTTTGTCGGTCGTTCAACCCTTTCGGCGATCACTTTTATATATCGTTACTTTAAAAGTAGTCTGGTGTTTAAAAATACGTAGGTAACGTTTTTAAAATACTGTTTCGCGTTGGCATTCGTCGAGCAAACTCGTTTCACCACGGTTTTAAAGACGTATACGATTCGCTAAAATTGTAACGCGCGTACGGCTAACACTATAACTAATAATTCGCTTATTCTACTGGACGCTCGGCCGAAAGGGTGCGAAAATTAGCTCTTCCCCGATCAGTCGACGTGTCGCGATCGTTCTCACCCATAAATGAAAGAAGCGTGTCTCGCGAGTGGAAGAGAACAAAATATTTTGCGACTCCCCCCCCTCCCTCTCTATCCGCTGTTTAAAAATTATCGTTGCTCGACCACCGAGCCGCGAGTCGGAAGGCCGTGGAAATTGTTCCGTGGTTTGATTGTCTAGTGTCCTAATACTTTAATTTATTTACAATTTTGAATAAAAACTAAATTCGAACGTTTGTGCTTGAAGCTCGTTAATTTAGCGAAATACTATATTTAATCGAATAGAATCAATAGACGGTGGACCAAAATTATAATATACGAATTTAAAGCGTCAGACGTTGTCGTCGTAGATTTGTTTATGTATTAAAATTCGTATTCACGGAAGCATCCCCGTCCCACGGACTCGCGACTCCGCAAGATCAGCGATTTGTCGTTGCGAATCGTTGACGAGAACAAAAAGGTTTCGTTCGCTCGAACAGTTCTCCCCGAGTGCCCTGACTCGCGCCTCTCTTCCTTCCCTACCTTGAACGCAAATTGAATTCGTTTCTAATTTCGATATCCGTATTATTGTGTCGTAAAGATTACTGCTCGCGAATACAGAGCCTCTACGTGATACTGCTTTCGCTACTACTCGACTCCCTCTACTGTTTTTCGAATACCGGATCGGTCGGTTGCGCGACAAAAGGACCGGAAGTCGCGTGTACCGCGGCTGGATTGTACGAAACAGCGTCTTCGTCGCGGCCCGAAATGAGCGGTGAACACGGCTATATACGCACCATCGGCAGACATTTATTTTCCGACCATCGATCGTGACTTCCTCATTCCGCTGCTCGATCCCGTCGCCGAGAGATTCTCGTCCCTCTCGATCGTTTGGAAAAACTTCGTCGCAGCTTCCGGAGCTCGGAACTCGGTCGACGTTGTATTAAATCTCGATCGTGCAGAACGGGTGAGGTCCTTTTCGTTGCAAATCGACGTGATTCCTCTTTTTTTTTTCTCTATCGCGTATCTTCCGTGACTCACCGTGATTCTGCACGCTCGAGGATCGACGCGATTGTTGACTAGATCTATTCTTCGAAGTATCGTACAAACGTCAGTCGTGGTTACTACATTCGTAGATGATTTTGCCTATGTAATAAGAGCCGCGCGCGTGCGTGTGAGTGTGAGTCTCTCTGTGATGTCTGTACGCGTGTGTGTGTGTCTCTGTTCGCGTGTACGTGTTTCGTGTGTGTGTGTGTGTATGTATGTTTTGCGCGTGTGCGCGTGCGTAGGGGTGCGGTGTTACGCTCCGAGAAACGAATTGCATTCCAATCGTCTAGCGTTCAAACAGATACGTCGATGGCTTGCTTGGTTCGAGCGGGTTGTCCTCGGTTGCGGGGAAAAAAGAAGAGTCTCTCCGCTGCAAGACACACACGCGTTTCTTTAGTCGTTCCCCTCGTACGTAACGTTTACGAGTGACTCCAGAAGTTGATCCTCTCACCCGTAACTTCCGTTCCCCGTCTTGCGTTTCTCTTCCGGTCTTCCGCTCGATCGAGTCTTCGTCCGCTTTCGCGCAGCGTTTAGTTGATATAATCGTTTGAACGAACGTCGTTTTCGTCGTACCGTCGCCCTACGTGTGTTTAATTACATCGACGATAAGTAATTAGTATTATCTTGTACGATTTCCCTGCTCTCGTCGCCGACTGGTTCCCCCTTTCGTTAACCAACGCGCGTTCTCCGACTAGGTTCGCGCGAAAAACATCGTTAGGGAGGGGGTATTCGACGACGGTCTTTCGTTATTTATTACGTTTTTTTGTTCTTTTTTCCCTCGCGAAGCCGCTACGATTTAATTCTCTTCCCTTTCGTTTTATTTGTTATATTTTTTTTTTTTATTTATTTGTTATCATTTGTAGTGAACACTGGAGTCGGTGGTGTGGGGGTTGGACGCGCGGGATGTGTTTACCCTGCACCATCCCCCCTATTAACACGTAGGTCCCTACGTGGGGTGCGTATGTACCGTTACACCTCCGAAGCGGCTGTCTTATTTTCGCTTTTCTTCGAAGCTATCGCCACCTCTCACACTCTTTCTTCCTTTCTTTCCCTTATCGCTATCCTTATTTTTTACATTTATTGTTACGCGATAAGTTTTACCTCGTCGTTCCTCAACGTGTTCCGTTACCCTCGCTCTCGTCGTCACTCTTTTCCCCCGTTTCTTGTACGCGTTGTGCCGATGGAAGAAATTACGTGGCACCCGCTTGATCAGGATCAGCCGATTCTTGGTCGTTGAATTTCTGCGTCTCTCTCTCTCTCTCCCTTTCTCTCTATTTCTCTCTATTTCTCTCTCTCTCTCTCTCTCGATCGTTCCCTTTCTCGTTGACGTATAATAATGGATTTGGAAGCACCCCTCGTATTGACAGACTATGGACAGAGGGCGCGCGCGCGCTCGCGGAGGCGCGTGCGATCCAACAGCCAGCGCGCACGCGTACACGCGTTATCGCTAGCACTCGCAGCTAGCGCGACTACGACGACGTGTGAAGGAGGCCTACGTCAGGCACCGTAGGGAGCTGCAGCTGTTCTTCGACAACCGCTCCAGCACTGGCCACCACGCTGCCACAGTCTCCTTCACTGAAATAACGGAAACCGGCTTCAATCTTCCCATTTCACCCCGACCAGGCAAAGACAGGGGTTCGCGAGAATCAAAGGATCAAAAAGCAAAAGGGGATCTAGCAGTGTTCGAAACTCGCCAACATCGATCAAGCGAAATATGTACCTAGTAGTCAGACGTCAGTCTCGATGCTTATACAGGCTGGATTAATATTGTTATTATGGCGAGGGTTGCAGTTGGGCTTCTTCGTAATCTCAGACTGAGTGAGCAATATGCTGTCTTCCAGCTCCATTATGTCCGACGACGATTCCGATACCGAGCTCTTCTTCAAGTGTTGACCTGCGAACCACACCAAGGATACAAATTCGACGGATTCTCGAAACGCAACGTCCGGTAGGTTTCGTCCATTTCGACCCAACCCGTTCTTTTGTCGATAATGAGCGAGGTTTGCTCGATCTTTTGAACGTAAAGTATTATTATCGATTGAGCGAAGCGTTATTACGCGTTAATCGACAGCTCTCGTTGCCCGCGCCCAAGGTTCGCCCGAGGAAGGCGTGAAAAATTGAACCGCCAGTGGACTCGCGCATAAATGGATTAGAGTAACGGTAAACTACCGTGTCAGCAGGGGCGTAGACATGTAATATCGGTACATACTCTCGCCGGGATTTGCCTGGCAAGCCGACAACTTGAAAACCACGCCTCGAGTACTCACGGCGAAAGTCAAGGACTACCGACACGCGCAATCCACTCTGTTCTTTTCGTACTTACTGTTCAAAGACGGACTTGGAAGACACTTATGTTACTTTACGTATACTTTCAGGATACCAAAGGACAGTCATCGAAAGGATACTATCCTTCGACTGACGAGGGTCACACAACAGAAATTCCAATGTCGAGAGTTTAGTCTAAACGTGCAAATTTTCAGTTCCCTGCTACAGAATCTTGAAATTTGGAAAGTTACATCCTCTATCGTGAAGTCTCTATAACTCGACTGATCGTATCCCTTGGAATCGGGCTAGGAAACGAGCAGTGGAGGGCTTTAATTTGCTTTCGACGTTGAATTTGATTATTTTTGAACGGTTACCGAGCTGCAAGTAGTTCGAAAGGGGCAAAGGCGAAGGATTAGGTGGGATAGCTCGTACCTAAAGTGCCAGGGAGATACGGACAACTGGTCACGTGATTGAAGTTCTGTGACTGCATCTCTTCCTGGTCAGTCTCACGGTGATAGAAGTAGTTGAAGTTGGAGACGATGACGGGGACGGGCAGGGCGATCGTCAGCACACCGGCGATCGCGCACAGGGAGCCCACGATCTTCCCCCAGACTCCCACGGGCCTGAAGCAGATTGAAACGGACGCTTTGACTAGCGGTTTGCCGGACGACCGGATCGTCGATAGCTTCGTTTCTCGTCTAAGAAACTCGGTGCTAGGTGTGGTGTTTCTATCTTGTGTGAGTTTGCCGTGTCGAGTCGAGTGTGGCGCTACTTATGCGGTACTGGAGGCTCCTATAGATATACACGTTCATGTGCGTTCGCCGGAGATTACTCGAACTCCAATTTTATAGGAGAGATCAGAAGCGAAACAGGCGCGTCGATCGCATCTATCTCGTCGCTGAAAGTTCGCACAATGAGCCGTGTATACTTATAGTGAATCGCGTGGTCTAACAGAAGCGGGCTCTCTAGGCTAGACTAGGGGACTAAAGTGACTCTCTAAAAAGGCTCCAATCCTCGTGTGTTGATGCACCGTTCCAAACAAGCGCGTGCCATTCCGTTGCTGAGATCCGATCGAACCCTCTAAAACGGTACGACATGCAAACTCGCTGGTCTCTTGGAAAAGAAATCGATACTACTCTCTGATCGGACCTAGGTTGCTCGATCTCTGACTCGCGAACGGTTCTCTCTCGTCCGGGATCACCGTGCACGGATGATCTCGAAAGTTAGCTCGCGCGGACGAGCGATCAGAGAAATAAAAAAAAAACCGAATCTGAACGTCGAGTTTCTCGAGCGCGTCGAGTCGACGCGGGAGGGCAGAGATGATTAGAGCGCGTTTCATCGAATTGAAAAGCGCCCGGAACCACTCGAGTTTACCCGTGGCCTTCGAACGACACGGATATTTGCAAAATTACTAACGAGCCGCCGTTTCGCGTCGACGTCGAGACGCGATTAGGCGCATTCGTTCCACGGGAACATTTTTAACGTCGAGATCCCGTCATTTTCTCTCTGCCCTCCGCGGATTATTCGTGCGTATCTAGGAATCGATCGCGAAAGATGAGATCATTCCTGCAGGTGTCACTGTACTATGGGCCTTCGTGATCCATGACTGATGGTGGTAGCACTAATGACAGCGTTCTGAACGAGAGTAGAGTGGTTTCCACTGGACGTGTTCGCTAAGTCTGTTCCGGGGAACTGTGTTCGATTGGAAAGAAACTGTGTTCGAACTTGGAGTAATTGTTTGATCGCGTATGAAATGCATGCAGAAGTGCACCGGATGCGGGGGAGCTCGGGGAAACGGAGATCGGGAATTAAATTAGCTTCGAGTCCTGTTGATAAATTAACGAGAGATCCGTAAGAATTTGCAGGGAAACTGGAAGCCCCTGGAAATCCTGGTGAAACGTAACAGGGAAAGTCGAAAGCGATCGAATCGAGTTAATTACGCGCGCGATAAACGGCCCGTTGTCGATGATTCTGTGGACGGGAGGCAAATTGCGACGGTTATCTAGCCGTCGATGCCTTAGAATCGAGCCGGTCGGTTTCGAAAAGGTTTCCAAAACTGCGATCAATCGCGGTAATGAGAACCGAGAACCGACGTAACGAGACGCGACGCGATGCTTGGCAGTCGAGTGGGATGGGACACACTTTCAAAGTACGCTTCGACGGGGAAGCTGGTTATGCGAGAGAACCGGGTTTCGATAGAGGAAGCGAGCGTCGCCGGTTTCACGACAAAGGAGTCGAGTTGGGTGCGTGTATCGTATTGGGAAACTGGAACGGGCTTCTTGTGCTAGACAGCAGAGAGAAACATCGCCGTTACATAGGCTGTCTTCTCTACAACGAAACGAATGGAACTTCGGGAAAAACGTGCTCGTTGGTTGCCGTGTTTCCTTTCTCGAAATAGAATAACTACGAATCTCCGGGTTTTATTTATTTGCGCGAGCGTGACGACCCTTTGGCGAATCAAAGAAAAACTCAATGGTTGGTTCAAAGAAGAGTCAGAGCAAATGCATTGGTAAAAGTTAAGTTCGATAGTATGATAAAAGGGGTAAGTTAGGCGTTGTCAAGTTTATTAGTCGATTCGAATAGTCGAATAGTCGAATAGTCGAATAGGCGAGGAGCGCGTTGGCTCCGAGCGTTTCTGAGAGTCGTGCCCGTGCCGGTTGCCCCGAGGACACTTATTGATTTACAGGAGGCAATTGCTCAAGAAGCCTCTTTGCCCGTAACACCGGAGATCTCCAACCTCACTCGACGGATGCTCTTGAATCTCGAGAGTCTGCCGCGAGCCACGAAACTACCCCTGTCGATGTTATAATGTCGCTCTGCCCGATGAGACGCGAACCGCGAACGCCTGGCTCTAACGAGGAACGTCCCTTTCACGAATATATCGTTTCCGAGAGAACCTCCAGGGCTGCGGGAGAAAGTAAAAGGCACCCGCTAAATTTAATTTAAGGGACCAGTAACAAAACTTTCTCTTCGACTTGGAAAATAAATCTTTTGTTTTTCTACCTCCCGCAAAATCAAATCCACCCTTTATTTGGTCGTGGGAGTGCCATTTTGTACCGAATATGTTTTCTTTCTCTTTGGTCCGGTTCTTTGAGGCTTGTTATTCTTTGTTCCAAAGGGTTCATCTCGTAAATAAATAAAACGCCGGCTTTTCTAGCTTTCGATGCTCCGCGATCGGCTTTGGGTTTGCTCGTTCGCACAGATTTCTCCGAGAAGATAACCGGGAATAGCGACGAAGGGATAGGGCGCGAGGGTGCGGACCCTGCACAGGCTAAGCTCCTTGCGAGGGGACAGCGCGTGGAAATCGATTTTTAATCGACATCGAGCAAACGTTGTAGCGTAACGCCTGGTATAAGAAAACCCTAAAAGGTCTTCGTCGTATAGGCCTCCGTTCTCAGGATATATAATTCGTTTGTGAAAGGTATGGAGGAGAGTATCGAGAAGGAATTATTCTCGAGTGACGAATAGAAACGCAAGATTCGCTTGTAAACTATCTTTTGCCCCGTGGATTTGCTTAATGTTAGTTTAAAACATGCGTTGGTGGATTTTAATACACACACAGGGTGTCCCGTATCACGTGGGGTTAGATTCTACACACGAAAATAATAAAAAAAAGTTCATACAAACAAAAAGAGTTATGGCGAATTTCTTCTTGTTCACAGAATACTATGTTACAGTGAGATAAGCATATCTTTCGAAATAATTGTACCAACATACAACTCGTCATAGCTCAAATAGAACGTATGTTTATAGAAACTTTTTTCATTGTTTTCATGCGTAGAATCTAATCCCACGTGCTACGGGACACCCTGTATAAGCGAACTTACGGAACAAAACGTGCATAGAAGTTAGTATTTACGAATCGATCTAAAATTTGTATTCGTTGTTCGTCGAATTTAGTCGAGATCGAGAAGAGGACGATAAAGTGGATCGCAGGAGGTCACGGGGACGATTGTATAAAAATCGAACGGCAATAGATCGTGTTGGAGGATTGCGAGCTATAGATGTATGCAGTTTAGAAAAAACGTGAGAATTCGTTTGGACGAGTTCTGCGAACAGGGAAGAGAGGGATGCATGGAGAGATCGAGAAGAGAAAAATAAGCGTGTTCAGCTTGTTCAGGCACTAAGTTACGAAAAAACAGAATTTCGAAAACTAAAAAAGCGATCAAACGGGCAGGATTAGAAACGGTGATAACGGATCGTGGGTATCGAATAGGTGTCACTTATGAAGAACGGTCTGCAAGGCGGAGAATATATAATCGAGTGAGTGATCAAGAGTTAGTAAAAAGTATCGAGAAAAGGGAGATTAATTAAAAAAGTGCTGTGTGTAATTCGTTTGTTTGGCGGGCATTAACTAGAGTCTTAAGTGAAAGTGAGTACATCATACGTCATGTCACCATAGCCCACGGTCGTCATCGTGACAACGGCCCACCAGAACGCGTCCGGAATGGACTTGAAGAACGAATTCTCGGAGCCGGCCTCCGCGAAGTATACCGCCGATGAGAATAGCACCACACCTGCAATGCAAGGAAGAAAACACCGGTTCAGTGGGTTTAACGCCCCCGGTGGCTCTGTACCTCATGTCCCCGTAGCCCACGGTCGTCATCGTGACCACCGCCCACCAGAACGCGTCCGGTATCGATTTGAAGAAGCTGTCCTGCGTGCCCGCCTCCGCAAAGTAAACCGCCGACGAGAACAGCACCACACCTGGAACGCACACAAGAGGAAGACACGATTCAAGACACGGTATTTTAGCGGCTCCGTAGCTCTCTCAGTCGTCGCAGTGTCTCCTTCCACCATTGCTCGATCGTCCTGTAACGCTACCGATCGCTCTTCCGCTCCCATCGAACGATGAATCTCCGGACGAACCGATCCCGTGTGCAAATTCCACCCCGGTTAACCCGGATTTTCCTGTTATTACGATGATCGGAGTTCCTCCGGAAACGGACGATCCTCGCCTTCGGGGTTTTGGTTACCTAGAGATCGTTACCAACACTTCCTCCTGTTACCACGATCTTTCTTCATCGGGTTTCAGTTCTGTTCTCTTTTTCCGTTACGCTCTTTCGTTATTCTATGGACGTTTCACGCGACCGGGGGACTTCATTTTTATGCATCGATGGTCTAAAAATGATTGGAACTGCCTTCTGCTTTTCCCCAGCTGCGTGGAACGCCTCGGTTTTTTATAAATACACTTCTTTCGTTACGTTCTTTGTTATTCCACAGACGCCTCGCGCGACCGGGGGACTTGATTTTTACGCATCAATGCTAAAAATGATTAGAATCACGTTCTGCTTTTCCTCGAAGCGATTCCGAGTTTTTTTTTTATATTCGAACTAAATTCGTAAGACGTCGCGGATATTGAAATTAGCCGTCCAGCGACGCGGTTCGCCAAAGTTCGAGGGGGCGAAAGGAGGGTTAAAAGTACGTCGCTGGAAAGTTTTCCCCAATTAAAAATCGATAGACGAACGGGGTAATATAATAAATTACGCTCCCCTGAAACGTTCGAGGAGCAAGCCTAGCCGCTTCGAAGGACGAAAGATTATTTTCGTTGCAAGCTGATATCTCTCTTTTAGTTGGAGAGGAATACAAGTGAAAAGAGGCAAGTAAACGTGATAGGGTAAAAGACGGTTAACTCACCGATGAAGAGGAAAAAGATGAGCAAGCCGAGCTCTCTCATGGAGGCCTTGAGCGTACGGCCGAGGATCTGAAGGCCTTTACTGTGCCTGGACAGCTTGAATATCCGAAACACCCTGACGAGCCTGATGACCCTGAGTATCGCCAGGGACATGGCCTGGTTCGTGCTCTTGTCCTGCGGGCTTACCGGCGCCTTAGGTAGATCGATCGCCTCCTGGTCCTCGGCTATCACGGTGCCGAGCGTGATGAAGTAAGGAATGATCGCGATGATGTCGATGAAGTTCATTACGTCACGGAAGAAGTTCAGTTTATTTGGACAGGCGAGGAAGCGCACCGATAACTCGAACGTGAACCAGATGATACAAATAGTCTCTATTAGGAAGAACGGGTCCTTAGTGTCCGGCACTTCGTCCTCCTCGATCTTCGTGCCGTTCGTCGTCGTGTTGAAGACCTTGTAGTGTTTGAACTCGGGCAGGGTCTCCAGGCAGAATATCACAATCGACAGGAGGATCACGAATACGGATATTATGGCGACCACCCGGGCGCCCTGCGAGCTCTCCGGGTACTCGAACAACAGCCAGACCTTCCTTTGGAACTCGTGCGTCGGCAGCGGCTTCTCTTCCTCCTTGATGAACCCTTCGTCCTCCCTAAACGTCCACATTTTAAACTGTTACTCAAGGACATCTACTAGGAGAGCATCAAGGGGAGATAACCAACACACTAAGATTACTTTACTGCACACTGGTTAGACCAATTTTGGAATATGGCTCGTTAGTCTGGTAGATCTTCTTGTAATTATGATTCTTTCTAATCAAATTAAATTTTAAAAGTAGCCGATTTACTCTTTGTCAACAGGGTACTTAATGGTCTGATCTCGTGCCAGAGTATCATTGAAATGTTTACAGAATACTCGTTCTGAATTATTTCACATAGAACACTATCGAGCACTTTATGGCTTCTCTAACCCTTATGATCGTTCGTTCACGCGAATACTGCACATTTTTTGATAAATATTCTTTACTTGGCATTTTGTAATTATTCAGTCAATCTCATGCTTCATTTATCATTCAATTTTGTATTTCCCTCTGGGTATTTAATCCCCATTAATATATAAATAAATAATGCTGTCGAACGAATTGAAATTTTTGCAGAATTACTCTAACGACCATTCTCGAGAGAAATAACAGACGATCGATAAATCTTTGCTGCTATTTTTGAACCGCGTCCCTAAAAATAGTGGGCGTATCGCAACACGTGGGGTCTCGAAAGGTGAATCGGGAACAAAACAATGGCTGATCCGTTAGCGAATAACTCGTGGGTGTTTTCGTACCTGAATTTGTTGGTGGCCAGCTCGCCCAGCTCGTAAAACTTGATCTCCTCGGAAAAGACATCGAGAGGAACGTTGACAGGACGACGCAGTCTGCCGCCACTCTGGTAGTAGTAAAGTATCGCGTCGAAGGAGGGCCGGTTCCGATCGAAGAAGTACTCGTTGCGAAGCGGATCGAAGTATCGAAGCCGCCGTGACGGATCGCCAAGGAGCGTGTCCGGAAATTGGTTCAGCGTACGCAGCTGCGTCTCAAACCGTAAACCGCTCACCTGTTGGGGGATCGAAACCGATAATCGATTATGTCGATGCGCCGCAACCTATCCTTATCCGTAATCTCCTTTTGTCACCCGGTACCCCGCTAATTGGGACGTCGGGTCAACGCGTCTTACCCAGCTTAAACAGCTTTCGGCAATGATTCCCTAATTTTCTCAGCGAAACGGACGCCTCCCGGAAGGATCAACGATCTTCCTGCACGCGTCAACCCAATATCTTAACCCTTTGCGCCACGAACTATATTTCAATTTTGCTAACAGCAGCTCCCAACCCATTTGAAATTTACGTTAACTAAAAAGTAGGGCTATTTCAATTAAAGGAAATTGATTAAATCTGTTTTATTTTATCGATGGCCTCAACGTGCCACAATCCTGTTTTCTTCAATGATTAAGAACAGCGAACTTTCCCGAGTTGAGAGCACCAAAGTGGAATTTAATCAAGATCGAGGGATTGCAAAGAGATCCTGATGACTTAGGTACTTTTGGAGGATGTCTTTTTAACGGGTGGCGGTCGTAACGATTTAACGAGCAACGTAATGTCGATTATCAGGAACGAACGGCGGACCACCGGTTGACGGTGATTTGTTTTGGCTCGCAAGGAACGGCTTTCTTTTCGATCCTCCTCGTCGCTGCGGAAAACTAATAAACGAAACTGGGGTAATTGCGTTCCGCCATTAGGACGATTGAGAAGAAAAAGAAGAAGTATCGGTTATAACTGTCGCGGCGTAGCTTCGGTTTATCGACGACGCGCGTCCGCGGGAGTTACCTTCGTCGTTCAGAAATTCGATTTGCCCGGATAATTAAAGAATTAAACCTACGACCACGGTAAAACCTGTCCGTCGCGATAAACACGAATCCGCTGCGTGTTGGGGGCAAATAAAACCGGAATCAGGGAGCTCGAGATGTTTGTTAACGTTCGACCGAGTTTGATTTCGATAAAAATCGAGGAAATAATTGTGAATAGAACGACGACAAGGAGGACAGAAATTAGATTGTACTCGCGAGGGCGCGCAAGACAAACGCGTGTACACCGTGTCGACCGGTCGATATTTAGTCTCGTTATCGAACGTTCGCAACCGGCTACGACTTGTCGCGGAAATCGTCTTTCGATCGACCGCCCGTTTCCCTCGCGACTCCTCGAATTTCGAGTTAGAATTGGATAAACAAATATTTTCGTTATCGAGCGCTAAGATCGCACGGGGCTGTGATTATTTGAAAAAGAAATCGGCGGGAAACGAGAGTGAAAAATTCTCCGGGGAATCTTAAGGACAATATTTACACGAGTTGCGTAAGCTTCAGACGGCGGATGGGAGGAAGGGTCGTAGTTATCTGTTACTTAAAATCTTCTACGGCGGGGCTTTGCCTCGAGTGACACTCGAAGCGTTTGCCACGATCGAGAAACAAACCGCGTGAAACGCGGGGAATCCGATCGGGTAAACTCGGATCGGTACCCGCGAATTTTTCGTACGACGATCGAACGGTTACTGTAATTGGCGCAATGCAGTCGTGTCATCCACGAGGACAGATAATTCCGTTCACACAATACGACCTTGGTACTATATTGCCCCTGATTCCAAGACGAACTTGGACGACTGCCAACGTACGGTCTGTAGGTCGCTTCGTGTCTTGAGATAATCTTGCCCCGTCGAAAAGAAAGAAATACGAACGAACAGGGACAGCACGGGATACAGAATAAAAAAACATTCTCGTAGAATAAGCGACGATCGATTCGAACAGGCGTCGAGCCCGCGACGGAGCGACGCGATCCATCGATCGAGATCAGGGGCATGTAAACACCGACAAAATTGTCGATCTTCGAGAGGCTGTAACTTTCTTAAAAAAAATCGTGCGACGATGTTCCTGGGCTCATTTTAAAGAGCGAAGCCCCTTCTTTCGCATCCCTGAATCGATTTTTCAAAATTATTTTTCATTCTGACGTACGAGGTAGAAAATTAAAGACACTTCTTTTATACAATTTTACGAATTCGAACTACTCTGGGGAGCGTAGAAAATTTTTTTAGCGATTGGTTTTGCAGTGCATTTTTAGGGGAGAGATTCCCCTTTCCAACGAGCCCCTAAAAACTTCTGTACGATTTTTTCTCGCTATTTTATGGCCGATATTGCTGCGCGTGAAATAGCACGCCTTGTATGGTCTGACTGAGACAGTGGTTTTCTACTTGTTTTTCTCTCGCTGCAATATCTCACGCTTTTCAGCGAATTTTATATTGTTTTTCGATTTGTAATTGTTCGTAACTTTCCCTCAACTGTCTTGGAAACGTGTTACAACGTTGAATTTTATTTTTGCAAACCAAAAATTTGACTGGGATGGTTTTGTATTTGTTTTTGTCTCGCTGTAATTTCTCGCAATTTTCAGCGAATTTTACATTACTTTCTGGATTTATAATTGTACGTAACTGTCTGTCAACTGTTCCAGAAACTTTTTACAACGTCGAATTTTGTTTTTCCAAATCGGGAATTTAATTTGAATATTTTTAGCCCTGAGTGTTTAAGTAAAGCTTCGTTTCTCGTTAAGTCGAGATTGTTTACGCGCCTTTTTCTCGTTTCCCAGCTTTTACTCTTTTTCTCTGGCGCGTCGAATCGGATGACAAGTACGCCCCGTTGTTCTGGACAATCGCGATCAAATTCACGGGGCCGATAGTTTTTTTTTTTTTTTTTTTTCGAACTTTCAGCACGGAATCGACGCGCTGAATTTCGACCCCGATTATCTCGACGTCCCGATAGAGCCGCGAGTGGAAGAGATACGAAACGTCCGCTCTATACGCTTTGAAATACGAAATTTTTATTAACCCTTCTGGCGCAGGAAAGCTCCATTAGTTTTAACGTTTGATCGCAATATTAACACGTTAACGACGGGGTATTTTTACTAAAACTTTCCCATACGACTGATTTTAATGACGTGGAATTCCTTCAAACGTTTGTAATCTAAAAATGTGATAAGTATTTCTGTAATTAACCCCTTGACGTACGATTTAATGTAATTTTTCAAACGTACGCTATTTAATTTTCTTCGAATTTCTTCGTAGAAGAAATACTTCGTAAATGTAAAAATATGTTGATTTTAATAGATAAAACTCGATGACGAGTGAGTAGCCTTATGACATACGGCAGAGGGTTAATATATTTATTGAAATTTTCAGGAGTTATATAATTCTCGTTTCTCGTCGATAATGTATTAAAAAAAAGAATCTATTCTTAAGAGATCAATAAAATTGAAGCTTCGAGCGTCCTAAAAAGTTGTTATCAATCGGAATACTTCGACGGAGGCGGTGTTTCACGAGTGGTAAATAAAACTAATCGCGTTTGAAACCTTGCGTTCCGATCGATCCACGCGCGTCCCGGTTCAGCTAAATCGAGCTTTCGAGTAGTTTCGCCATAACTCCGGGCGAGTCGACGAACCGATCGCGCTAGTCGGCAGAAGCTTTGCCTCGATCGTGGGAGTGATTGGTAAATATGCTTACGTTGATGACGACCCTCTCGCAAAAGTCATGATCGTGCGGTATGGGCTCGAAGTGCGTGACGCCTGTGTATTGGGTGTGGGGGTTCGGCCCATCCTCGTCTTGGCTGCTGAGTTTCGGCAGCGATCTGCAAAAGAAAGACAGCCGCGTCGTTGAAATGCTCCCTAGTCGCACCGATAGAAACACGTATGTATGTACACACGAAACATTGTACAACCGTATATACATATACACACATATATATATATATATAGGATGTAGAAACGAAAACTAGGTTGCTCTACCTCTGTACTAATAGCCCCTATACCGAGCTATTTTCTTAACGAGCTACTAGACTGGTAAGCCGCTAGGTCGACAGCCTAGTAGAACTGCGATAGCTTGATGGATCGGTGAAGTAAGGGGATTCGATAATGAATTGATATCCGTATCGAGCTACTCGATCGTTGGATCGTTTGGCAAACAGGAAGGCACTAACGTTCCTACGATGGAATGTTCATTAATTATCGAGCTACTGGAGTTGGAAAATGCCGCTAACTGACTCTACTGCGATTGTTTGAAATAATAGCGAGGTGGCAGGGGGGGGGGGGAGGATCCAATAGTTACCGTTTACAAGGATGATGAGCTAGGACTTGTTGTTCACGATTACGTGAACGGGATCGTCGAATCGATCGTTATGGTTGGTACGTACACCATTAGGAGACTTGCGTGACTCACGTCGACGAAGAAAGCTGCGGATCCATTTCGATCGAAAGTTCGGGGACCGATTGGCGATCGATAGGCAGGTCGCCAAACCAGTACGCAAATCGTAATTAACGCTCGTCCATGAGCAATTGAAATAACGAGCGTCAGGCTCGCGGCCAACGATCTGCATGATCCGGTCGTCATTCATCGTTTTATCGTCGTCCAGGAACCGTTTCCAGATCCCTAGATCATCTGGATCCTCTCGAAACTTCCGAACAAGTTCGACGTTTCGGGTTCTACTACCATCGACGCACGCTTTAAATCCAATACCTTCGAGGCGACTTTCTCCGAGTCTGTTGACAATACTTTTATCGTGGGGGAGGTGGAAGGGGGCGAAATATACTCGTCGAGGGTGGATACAAACTCGTTGGAACTCAACGAACAGTATGTAAGCGTTTTTAATAAATTCTTTCGATCGATTTCGTAATGAGATAAGCATTTGAGTGACTCTAGACTTTCTAAAACTCTTCTTTCACGAATCTAGGTACCCCCGTACAAGTTTCGTATTATACTCGTTAAAACTCGTCCGGAGCTCGATAATTCAAGTTTCCTTTTCCCGTGCACCAAACAAGCTGTATATCGTTATGCGAACAAATAAGTAAATTTACAAGGCTCGTCCGAAGTTTGCTCGCGAAACAATCGGTAGAAATATCTCGTCTAAAAAAATCGGTTCGCAGCGTTAATTTGCTTTTATTCGGTGCGTCGTTAAATCCACCGTGGAAAGCGAAATTAACGATGGTATATCGCGGGGAAGTTTTCGAAAAGGAACGAATTTATTAGCCAATACCCCAAGAAAAATGGCTCCCCGGCCGCGTCGTGGCGCGATTCGTTGATCTTAATTAAAACCATCGACGTTCCTCGCACAGGGGCGAGGATTTTCCACGCCGGTTGCAATATAAAAGGAGGATTCCAAGAAGAGAAACATCGAGCCTTTCGCGTGTGGATCTCGTCCGAGCGGAATGAGAATCGTAGAGAGCCGGCGTCGAGGTGTTCCGCGTGCAAAGCACCAAGACGCGAGCAAGAAAATGAAAAGTGGAGGCAGAGATGTGCCGCCAAAGAGCATCTCCACGCTCCACTTCGTGGGGCCGAGAGAGTGCCGGGTCGATTCTCGACTTTTCTCCCACCGTTCCCCAACGCGGGTTCAACGCCAAAATGCATTTTTTCCTCTCCCTCGATCGAACGCCGCCCGCGATTATCTCGCGAACTGGAAATAAAAAGCGATAGACCCGCGTTAAAACATTACGTATACAGGAGAGATCTTGTTTATACAAATCCCTTCTAGCCGAGATTACCCATTATCCGAGGTACTTTGAACTTCACGAGATATTTCCCTCTCCCGAGACGTCTGTTCGTTTTTCTTGAGGTTTATGGTAAACGTGCTTATACATTTTTAAGGGGGAATACCACTGTGACGGATTGAAAAAACCGAATACAGTTTTTTGCGATTCTTCCTTCAAAGTTCCACCAGTTTATAATAAACAATTATTTTTAAAAAAACGTACAATCGAAGCTACTGTCTTATAGTTTAAGAAAATTGCATGATTTCTTGTTTCACAACTTGCAGTGAAAAATTACACGACCGCCAGTTTCCAACAAATTTTTGGAGGTCCTTTCATGCTGGTTACTATCATGGCTATAATAATTAATATTTTTATACGAAATTTTTACAATAAATAGTTTGAGAAACGCACTTTCAGAAAAAGTTTCATAGTTACACCCAAAAAAATTCTTGAAGATTGCCTTCATTTTCGTCACAGTGGTTCCCCCCCTTAGATCCCCGAAAATGCAGCTAGAAAATTCCATCGAATTGGATGAGGGTTAATTAAACTTTACACTCATCGTTTCCAATTATCCGAGGTGATCTCTGTCCACCTCGGATAATCGAGACTCTACGGCAAACGGATTTCAATATTTACGTACGGGGATCGGAAATATTAATTATGTGTAAATACAGCGTACAATCGTAAAAGATTCTTTGCGCCGTCTAACAATAAAAGTTCTTTTCAAGAACACCGGAACCCTACGGGTTATTTTCGTGGCACGTTGCGCCTCGGATAAATGTTTCTCGCTTTCCCTCGGAAGGTCGCGAGCAATTCCACAGAGAGATAAAGGAGAAATTAGCCCCAGGAACGCGGAGCGATTCTCGGCTGGTGAATCGCCGCAGACGGCGCGGCGAACAAAAGAGACCCCAGACGAATTTTCCGAGCTTGAAAGCTCTTTGTTAGTTAGCAGCGGCCGCTGCTCGATGCCGGATGCTGCTCGGGGAACCTTTCACGCCTCCCGCAACATTCCACCTCAAAGGTGCTCCTATCGTCCCTAAAGTGCACCGTATTTCGCGTTACCCGACACTTGTAACCCGATGGTTTCTCCCGCGACACCGACCAAACGATGGATACCTCGAAAGGGATCGCCCCTAGACGCCCATTTGCATGGATATTAAACCAGACAATTTACCCCGCCTTACCCAACCTCCACCGTTTCGAGAGCGCAAATGCAATTTTATCGTTAGCGATCAGGAACGCTCATAATCTCATTTCGTGCGCGCTTTTCATTCCATTTTATAACTACGTTGTTTTAGAGTTATTCCAACCCGTTCCGGTGATTTTTCTAATCTAGCGGGGCCCTTTGGAAATTTAAAATAATTAACGTAATCCTCCATTAGTTCATTGTTTTCTAAATACTTTAAAGTTTCAGTCGGGATCGAGAGGCCGCTTAAGGGTTAATTTAAAGTTTCGTCGTGCTCGATATAGCAATTCGATGACCAATGGGCAACACTGTTCGTTAGTTGGGCGTATTCGTGCGCGATACTGGCCCGTAAATAGCCTATAGAATCGGTGCACAGTGGCGTCGAAACGCGCGGGGAACTTCCCTCGCGAGGCAGAAAACAAAAATTGGCGTAATCTCCTCCTGTTCGATTTTCTTCTATTCGTGACGCGCGGAAAAAGCCCGACGTCACTGGAGGGGAAAAATCGATATTTCAATTTTGTCGTTTAATTACGTCGCCAGAGGCGGGACAACGGCCAACTATTTATCAAAGTCTGCTCGTGACGCGAGCGTGAAACGCCGCGGCGACGTGGATTTCGCTTTCCCCCGTGGAAGAACAGAAGAAAAATATCGGTACCGCGGGTCTAACGTACGCGTCGAATTAGCTCAACCCCGTGATGGATGGTTTATTCCTAGAGCACCGATGACAGTCGATGCACTCCGTGCACCCGGAGCGTAACTGAGAATAGCCTGACGTATCGCGAAAATAGATACGCCCGTTACGTTGCACGATGCATCGACGAGCACGTGTTTTCTCTCGTTCCCTAGAGTCGAGATCCCAGGAAAAAAAAAACGTTTCTCTCGTTCCCCGACCACACGATCAAATCGCCATAACTCGATTCACGGCGATACGCGAAGAAATCAAACACGATCCATTGCATTTCAGTTTACCAGAGTCTCGATAACAAATGATTTTTCAATTTTGAATTCAAGGTCCAAACACGATAAAATTATTGCAACAGTGGGCGTTAAAGTTTGCAATTTTTGTGTCGTACTTGGAGCTTCGATTTAAAATAAAAATCACGATTCCGTGATACTGGTTAGCAGAGTTGCATGGTACTTTTTAAACGAAGAATTACAGGTTGCAAGTTTTGCTACCAGTTTGCAACTATTTTTCCCGGTCAGTCACATTTCCCCTCGGGCCGAGACCGTCCTATTTTAGCTCCTCTTACGCGAGCCTCGACGTTTCTGCGCAATAAGGACAGACACGTTTGGACTAATAAGAGTGTCTCGGTATAGTGTCCTCAACCTTTGGTCGATAGCTTTGGTCATTGGCCAAGGAAATTGTAAACGACTGTAATCGTTACGATCGAATGATCTGTCAACATCGACTTTTATCATCGCGAGGGCCAGAGATTCGTGATTCCCCGAGTGGGAATCGATCAATGAAAAATCCGAGTTTAAAAATACATCGGAAGTATCATGAAACGTTGACCGACAGTCGTGCTTGCCGATGGAGTAAGAAAAAAGCTAAGAATTAAAACGGACCGCGGTTTGTTATTGTTGGTGCGGTTACAATGGCATTGTTCCTGGCGACGATCGTCGATAGAAGTCAATTAAGACACACTCGAAGGAACCGCAATTGTTATCCTGAACTTTGACGTCGCCTAATTGGAAGGAGCGTCTGTCTGTTTGCCCGCGATCCCGTCTCTGTTAAGATACAGGGAATTCAACGGCTGAATGAAAACCGTTTCCATTGTTAGTGTCGCGAGGGAGAGTTTATTTCCACTCGTCAATGGGGATACCGGCGTGCAGAGAAAAAGGACTCGTTCCGGAGCCCACGTATCCGAAGAGCGACTGAAAATAGCGCGTCGTGTCGCGGAAATAGCGAGTCCGTCGTCT